AATTATGAAATCAAAACACATCTTTGAGAAACATTTATGTTTATTACTAACAAAATTATTTATTCAATGTGTAAACTCATTCTTGACATACTGTATATTGGGCCATAGTTAGATATATCGGTCTAAAATGTTCGTTGTTTTTTTTTATATATTTGTAAAATTGTTCCCTTGCAAAATAAAAAAATTCTTGACTACAGTTGTAGCCACAGTACGTTGTAGCATAAATATGTTATTTCCAAGAAGTTTTGAAGCTTGGACTGATAATTTTACACATAACGTTAAACAACATTTTATTAACAAGTGTAAACTCAATTTCCCACTTTCCGATAACATCGGAGGTAGTTCAAAAAATATCAAATCATTGTTTTACGTTTTGATAGTAATATTTTTAGTATTTAAATGACTTGCCAAAAAGTAAAAAAAAAATATAAACTAACCCAATAAAATAGTAGCAACATTTTAGCTAATACAGATAAAGAGATAAAAGCATTCTGGAAAATAGGTACATTTATAATTTTACAATATGTCAATAATAATGACCTAGCATATTTTGCCGATTAAATGTTTTGATAACTTAATATAGCCAATATATTATGGAATATTAAAGGCTATTTAATGGTAGACTATTTTAGAGTACCACTGAACGATTAAACGAAAGAATTTATTTTGAATGTGTAACTTTCGTAATTGATCACGACATAAACATGAAATGATCACGTAAATTTGAATCTATATAAATTTTGAATTACATTTCTAACATTTCGAAATAAAAAAACTTCCTTTATGATATTGAAAAGAGATTATTGCTAAACGGGAACATGCCAAAAGTTGAAAATACAAAAAAAGAAACCCATTTTTATTTTCAAATTTCTTCATTAGTTCTAAAGGTTATCTCTACAATTTGCAAATATAGAAATCATTGCAGTATTGTGTATTTTTGGGTACCCCCCATTGCAAATATTGCAAATCATTTTTAATCTATCGTTCAAAGAGAGTTATTGTGGGGCTTTGTTTTTATATAGCCCTTACTTTTCTAGTATTTTTTGTAGAGATTAATATAGTATTTGTTTTTCTCGTCACGCTGTAAATTGATGTAATCTCCGCTGATATTGATAATAAAAAAAACACATTTTTGTTGATAAACCTTCTCTATCCACTTAGAATAAAATTGTGCATTTTTTGTTTCTTTCAAAACGTCAATCATTTGTTTTGAAAATAAAAACGTATTTCACTTCAACTTGAGTTGAGGTGTTCTAAATCTAGGGATTACATTGTGTAAATAGTATTTGTATTATTACCGATGATAACACATTTAAGTCGCAATTTGCCAAGTCAATTTTGTTAACCCATTATATTATAGATGTGATGATAGATGATCATTTTAAAACTTTTTCAGTAAACAGGCTTAAAGGAATGCCACCTATAAATATAAAACTTTGTATATAAGATATTTTCGGGGTATTATATATATATAGAAGACCTTATGTAGGCTTTCTATAGAAATAATGTCTTCTTCAGATTCTTCAGATAGAAGACTTTCTTCAGATTCTCTATATAAAAATAGAGATTTTTATATATAATATTTAATCCATAGGGTTTCTATATACTACACACCATCTATAAAAGCCTTTAGAAGATAAAACGCTTTCTTTGAAGTCCCAACCCATTAGTGGTGGGTTAAATAATTTATATAATTTAATAATTTTTTGATACGAACTCGGTCTCTTCCACTATCATATATTTACATTCACTTGCAATAATTCCCAAATACCATTAATACCATACATCAATTTTAAAACAATAATAAAAACAATTTTATAGCCAATTTCAAGGTGGAAAATGTATTAAAATTATTTTGCCTATAGTTTACACTCTTATCGAAAAACTTGATGATAGCTATTCTTCAACTATTTTCTATTTCTTGTTATTTTTGTCAATATATTCTGAGTCATTTTGTCTTTTTTTCGAATTATGTGTCGTGTTTTCGACAATGTGGCATTGAGATGAGTTTGCCGATATGTACAAATAGCCTGTGAGTGATTGTCAAAAATTTAAAAATATATCATAGTCCTATAAATCCCCATGATATACATACGTAAAAAATATATACTTCTCAGTTACTTATTAATTAATTTTCATTTTTATTTATTGCATTTTCTGAAGAACAGATTTTACTATTGAAAACAAAAACCCCAAATTTATTTTCATATGCTGTTATGTTGTGGATGTTCCTTCCCATAGACGGTACGTTATAAATCTATCAAAAATGGCACATTTGTTTTGCTGCGAAATGCGAATTTAGACATATAAGTTCGTCATTGTTCGTACAACAAATATATCGTCGTCAACTTCTGCAGATTTGCCATTTCTTTGATTGTTGTTTTGGTTCTTTTTGTTTTCGTTTTGATTCTAAGAATTCGTGAATTCTTAACTGATAAGAAATGTATTATTTAATAAAGTAGCTGTGCCTACTCACAACTTTCAAAATTGTCGAATAATGATGTGATTTCTTTGTCAAGAATTTATCTGTAGATAAAAAGAAATAACATCTGCTAACCGGAATAAATTGTTCTTATAGAAAACATTACATTACAAATAATAAATAAGTTTACTTTATTTAAATATACTGGAATTTATTTGCTCGGTGCATTTAAAACCCTCCGGAGACACAAACTTCCGATATACCGAACGAATATACCAAAATATCTGAATATACGGATTTTTTACCTTTTGTAAGCAAATCAAGACTCAATTCATTGAGGTTTTTTAGTCTGAATTCCCAATTTACCATGGCAATTTTATTCTATAGAAAACATAACCTCAGTAAACTGGAAGGAAATAAAAATCAAGTTTCAGTTCACTGAGAAATTTTTTTCTATCGAAATAAAAATCAAGTCACAGTTTAGTAAAGTTATATCTTCTATAGAAACAATCAAGAAAGAATCAATCCTCAGTTCACTAAGGTAATTTTTTTATAGAAATTAAAATCAATTTTTCAATGAAAAAAAAATCCAGCCTCAGTTCACTGAAGACAACTTTTATACAGAAAAACTGTTTTTCTATACAATATAGCATTAGTTGAGGTCACTGAGGTATTTTTTCAAAAGAAAAAAAATCAAGACCTTTTTAAGGTTTTCTATAGATTTTGTATCTATCGAAGTCTTAAAGGAACTGCTATGTATTGTAGACTTATAATAGATTGCCTGTCTATTGAAGACCTGTAGACATATAAGAGAAATATCCCCAAAAAATAAAATTCCTATCATACTGAAGAAAATCTACTAACTATAGTAGACATATAGAAAAAATGCGAGCCCCACTTCTCAAGAATTGAGGTCTTTCGATTATACAGCCAACCAGTCTATGTTGTCATTGATTGATATTATTGAACATCATTCTGATTTGCATTATCACAACAGTTGTGATGCTGAGATGCTATTGCCGTTGGTGTTGTTATTGCTGCTGATGTTGTGACCCTTATAATAAATAATTTAATAGCTATTGTCTCCCTGAATTGGAATATAAACAAATTCGGTATTGTCAATTGTACTTGTTCAGACCTCATTTTTGGTTTTTCTATGATTTGTGTTGTAGTTGTTGTTGCTTGTTTTATATTCGATCATGTCAACAAAGTGCTGTTTGTTTTGGGGTGCTCCCAAAAACAACCACATCATCATCACCACTATTCGTATTCGTTACAATTGAATGGAAATGAGATAGGATTTTGAGATATCAATACAAATACACACACACACGCTCAGACACAAATATACACACATAATTGTATGCACTTATACTGATAATCAGTTCCCAACATACCATTCAGTAATCAAATCTCAATACCACTTGAGAACAAGCTTATATTCTTAAGCTTTTTTTAGTAATATTAAAAAAATATTGTTAAAATGTGAATTCACAAACAGTTTTCAACTATGCTTGAGAAAACGTTTGTGTACAAATGTTTCCCTATTGCAAGAATAAGCTTTTAGTAATATTACACAAGTAATTGTATCATAAGGGTTCCGTTTTGATTTTTCTACAATTATTAATAAACATTTCTCAAGATAAGACTTTTTCAAGCTTAATGCTTGTGTTGGTAAGCTTAATATAATATTACAATACTTTTGGCCAACAATACCCTCCTCCCATCCAAAAAAAAAAATCTTCATGATAAAAACGCCAACAATTACGCACGCCATTAACTGCCGGCAATTACCACCAGCCAACTATGCATACATTCACACATAGGAACAGCGGTCGAATAGTGGTCGTCGCAAAATTCAAAACTAAAACAAAAAATATTAACAAAAATAAAAATAAAATAAAAGTTGACTTCAAAATTGACTTTGTGTCGTCACACCAGCACTGGGTGATTTCCAGCTGACAGCAGTAGTACTTGATTAGAGCTCTCCCAGCGTTTGTGTTGTGTGTGTGTGTGTTTATTAACATTCGATTCTGTAGGTTTGTTCTTCTGCTGTTACCGTACGTAATGCTCGTTGGGTTCGCCTCGTTCGGCGCGGAATCAGTTTCCATATCGCATTTATTTGTTTTGCTCGCGGAATCTTAAACGAACGCTGCGTCCATATCTATTCCGAAGGCAGTTACTGGCGTTAAATTTTTTTGCTTCTCAGAAATTTTTTTATTTGTTTTGTTTTTGCTTTCTGAATTTTTAAATTGGAAAATTCTCATCGGAATATTTCATTCATACATCTAGTCTAGACGCGAACGAAAGTTGATGTGTTAAGAGAAATAATAATAAAAAAAATACTAATAATAAAAAGAGAATTATTTTCCACCATTTAATTTTGTCCTACAAAGCATCCCGGTTCTATTAGATGTAAATTGCATTACGCCGATTTATTAACTGAACGCGAATCAGTACTGAATGTGATGTGATAGTGTAGTGTAATTAAGATTTGTTTTAAATACAAATTATATATTCAATTTAATAAAATTTAGTATAATTAAACAAAAAATATACCAAAAAAATTTTAAACATTTTACCAAATTATTTCAACTGTGATAAATTAAATAAGTGTTTATTTTAAAAATTAAGAAGAAAATATATTCTAAACCTACGACATTATGAGCCGTCCCATTGATATTCTTTTGGAAAGAGTAAGTTAATAGATGTATTAACAAAAAAAGAACAAATCAGTTTAAATGTGACCCGGATTTTTTTTTAATTTTTATATAGAAAATAAAAGTAATAGAATAATTTATTTCTACTGATAAATTACAGTTTTTGATTTTTTAGTTAAGGGCTTGATTTTTTTTCTTATAAAAAAATAGGCCACAGTTTACCGAGATTAATTTTTCGATAGACAAAAAAAAAAAACTTCAGTGTACTGGGGGTAGATTTTGTTCCATAGAAAAAATGACTTCATAAACTAAGGCTCCATTTTATTCTATTGAAAAAAAACTTCTTAAACTGAGGCTTTAAGAAACAAAGAATAGTATCAATAGGTATATCATTTCTGACCGTATATATTCTTGATCAGGGTGAAATTCTAAGACGATCTAGTCATGACTGTCCGTCCGTCCGTCTGTTGTAATCACGCTATCTTCTGAAGGAATTGAGATAGGGTGCTGAAATTTGCACATGTTTGTCTTTTGTCTGAAGGCAGGTTAAGTTCGAAGATGGGATATATCGGTCCACGTTTGAGCGCGTTTTTCAACCAAATTCGCTGAAATTTGGAAATTTGGCTGTAATTTAGTATTTTGAGTTCTTAAAAGATAACAATTTTCTCCACAAAAAATTATGAATATAGGTAATTTTTTTCGTATAGAGCCCCCATATAGTTTTTCTACCGAATTCGCTGAAATTTGGTATTTTGTAGTCGTATATGGTAACAAATCTCCCCACCAAAAATTATTGGGTAGTCCCCATATAACCCCCTTTTTATATTAAAATAGTCATCTAATTTGTTCCGCGTTTTGGGTTTGGTTCTAAGAGTCTGTCGTTATCATTTCTCCTGCGGAGGATATCGAGATAAAAAGCTAGAACGTAAGGTTCGAAAATGAACTATATATATATATATATGAACTATAACCCGCATTTAGGCCTAGCCCCTATGTGGGAGGTACCAGAAGGAGTGGACCGATATTCCCCATCTTCGAACTTGAACTAAGTTTGGAAGAAATAATAAGATGGGCAAAGTTTGATTGAAATCTAAATTTTCTGAAACAAATTTGGCCCAAAGAAACATGGGGTCTAGAACCAATAAGTCCATGAGGACATATTGCCCATAAGGCTGAGGGTATAATTATACATTAAAAATTTCTGAAATTTGTATTATGGTTTACGTAATCGGTTTGTGGAAATGTCGGTATAGGTCCACTTTTTGATATTTTCCCCATATATTTTCATTTCAAGTACCTGTTAGTATATCTATGGTGGAGGGTATCCAAATTTCGGTCCGGGCGAACTTAACGCTTTTTCACTTGTTTTTCTATATATCGAAATAAATGAGCGCAGTAAACTGAGGCTTGATTTTTTTTATATAAAAATAAATGATCTCAGTAAACTGAGGTCCTATTTTTTCCAAAGAAATAAATGACCTAAGTAAACCGAGGCCTGATTTTTTTCTATACAAATAAATAACCTCATCAAACTGAATAGGCGTGATTTTATTTATAGAAAAAATGGCCTTATTAAACTGAGGTTTTGATTTCTTTGTAAATATATAAATGATCTCAGTAAACTGAGTCTTGATTTTTTTCTATTGATATAAGGATTGATTTCTTTCTAGAGGTACAAATGACCTCGGATTTTGAGCATCTATTTTTTCAATTGATTTTTGAGAAAAGGAAATGACAAATTAGTGGCACTTTGGTTGAAAAATTCAGCTAAGACTTTCGATATATCGAAAAGTGGGTTAAGCATAAGCAAACATATGTTTTTATCCACCAATACAATTTACAAAGTTTTGAAAAATGCCCATACTGATTTCATTGGATTTTTATTGGAAGTTGTAATAAGTTTGTTCTTTCTTATAGAAGCCGCTTTTCTTCTTCAAAAGACATCTTCTATTACATGGAAGGTCCCAAAATGTATATTCGGCAGAATACTTCTTAAAATGGCCTTCCTACCTATTAAAATGTTACCTATTTTAAAGAATATCTCCTAAATTATTTTCTTTTACAATGAAGCGATTCTAAATTATTTCTATACTGTGGAAACTCTTATAAAGGCTTCTTTTAGATAGGGGATGTCCTAATGGTTCTATTCTATACGAGAACTTTTAATGTTTCCTCTATAGAATACCCACTGAGAGTCGTCTGTCCATAGAACGTCCATCAAAGGCAATCTGTATAGGACAGCGAACATATAGGACATGTTGCTTTCCAGGTTATTTTACATTGAGGACATTCAATAAGGGTATTAACTAAGCTGTAGAAAAATAGTAATAAATAATAAAAAATAATAACAATTGAGCCAGAATAAATTTTCAGAATTGAACAATCTTGACATAGTTCGCTATTTAATTGGAAATAGCTGGCTCTCAAAGAAATAAATCACCACTTTTTACATGTATATACTACAACAAGAATTCCTCAACTATTTATTCCAAGTACCGCATCACACTTCAATACAAATACAAATTCCATATTAAAAAAAAAATCATAACATTCGTTCATTTACCTATGCTAATGTCAGATTTAAGTGATGGTCTGGGTCAAGTGTTTGCTTCAACAGGAAATTTTACTGTACACACTTCAGATAGTAAACATCGTTAAAATGTCATAACTAAATAAAAAAAAATACTATTTCACAATCCAATGTATTGTGTTTTCTGTAGTATTGTTTGATATACGAGTATGTAATTGGATATTTGAAATGTCTAAGGAATTTTGAAGGTCATTAAAAAAACAAGCAGCGGTCACCTTTCGATGGTGTGTATTTTGAGTATTTTTGAGTATTTTTTTATTTATAACGTTCTTAAACATGAGTGCCATTGTTAAAAATCATTTCAATTCTTAAATGAGAATATATGTTCGCATTTTATATATTTCTTCTTTTTTACATACAATTGCACTTTCTGCAATTATAAACGTCTAGAATTCGTTGTAATGGTAATAATATGGAGGGTGTAATAGAAGAGATATTTCTTTATCTGTTATATATATTCTACACAAATCAGAACAGAATATATCTATAAGGTATCGCCATAATGATCCTCGGAGCTTTTATGGAAATCCCCTTTTAAAAAGTTCTCTACTATAGAATAATTCCAAAGAAGACTTATGTGGCAATTTTCCATTTAAAGAAGACCTAGCCATGTTCTTCTGTCATATATAATAGTTTTTTAAGTGGTGTCGTGGTGAGCTCGTACTCCATCCAAATAAAATAATAAAATCGGTGGTGTAATTACCACACATTCGTATACAAATGTTTGAATCTATAATCTATTTCAAAGATAACAAAAAACGAATAATTTAGTCGCCCACTTCTGCAAAAAATTCAGGAATATCAGGCGATTTTGAATCCATAGGAAACATGATAACGCATATCATCATAATTATCAAAAATGGTTCCATTATTTTCATGTGAAATTTTCTCTCTCAATACGAAATATCTTAGAGTCAGGAGGCGAGGGTGTTTCCGAAATATTTAAACTCCTTTTTTCTCTTCAAATAACCTTTTTTACGATAGACGAATGCGGTTACTCAAAAAACTATTACTCCAATCGGTTTCCATTTATAATACCTTATTCTATACATGTATAATTCAAATAAGGGTCCGCAATGTTACAAACCTAAAAAGATATTTATGTTATTTATGTAACAAATTAATTCTTGACGATACTATGAATATATCATATCACAAAGAAGACATATTATTATATATATACCATTGGAATTTTCATGTTAATGTTTGATAAAAATTACAATCATGTTTGTTTAATAAAAATTTGTAGAGAATTAACAATTTATAAAAGTGCATCTATTTAGATGAGAATAGAAATTACATTACAAAATACGATTTCGGAATGCTAATTATTATTATATAAACATCCAATTTTCATTAATAAAAGCTGTGTGAGTGCACGTAATTACAGTCGAACATGCAAACGCTCTTCCTTATGACGCCCAATAAACATGTAACTTGTTCAATTATCTTATTTGAAATACAAAACTAGTTTCACAACCATCTAAAAAGGGCTTGTTTACAAATACGAAATACATCTTGTTTTGAAATTTAATTTATTACATAGTCTACGATTTTTGCACAGTGGTCATAGTGGATTATCACACAGAAAAATATTCATTGGATAAATGTTTTAATTCGCTTTCGGCCTCTTTTATGATTTTCAAATATAAAGAGAATTGCAGTATGATTGAATTAAGTTGGGATTTGGGTATCTTCGAATCATGTTGTATTTTTCTTATTTACCAATCATAAACAAATACAATCGAAATAGCTTTTAAAGACTGTTTAGGAACTGAAATTCTTCACTATTCTTAATGTCATTATAAGTGTTATCAAACAAATAAAATTTTTTGGGTCTTTTGGAAATCGAATTATATATCCAATATGTCGTTAAAAACGATTTCGACGATACTATACAAATTCACGAACGATAAATTGTTTGCCCATTTCACACTGTGCAACACATATAACCTGTTGCTGCCTGTCGGCCTGGCACCTAACTGACATTCAGTGCCTGATAATGGTAAATGAAATGAAACTAATATTATTATTATGAAAGTCAGCAAAAATCACAATGTAAATAGAAATGATAAGCAGAGCTTTGATAAGGTGGGAACAATAACAGTGCACTTAACACTGCGTATTTGTTTGACCTTTTAGAGGTCATTGCTGAACATGGACAATATAAATTCAAATCACAATAATATGTAGATTATTTCAGTTAAAATATCATTTAGATTAATTCTATAGTTAGGGCTTGAATATTATTTTTAAACCGTTTTGTACTGTGAAAATTAATGTTAACACCCTATCTAGAGAATGGAATAAATTATTGATTCGTCGCATAGATTTTTCTTTCCCAAATGTTTTTCATTGATACGAAGTGTACTCCTTCAGATCAATTTCAATTTACGGTCATTTGAAACAATTTTTAAGTTTTTTTGTTTTTTGAAAAGGCAGATTATGAATTTTTCACTCCGAAATGAAATCTATATATAACTGTATATTTGGTGATTTATTTGACATACCTTCCATTTACATGGAAAACTCTAATTAATTACATCTGCGAATAGTACTTTACAATACTACAATACATTAATTCTTCAATATTACAAATATTTTCACTTTTTTATCACTTGTTTTATTTCTAGTTTGAGAAAGAATACTTTTTCAATTAAATTAACTTCAAAAAATACACATAAGCCACCTTAAATATCAATTTTGTGTTTTTATTCAATTGATCAATTGGCCTCGGTCCACATGCTGCCGTATTCACACATAGAATTCATCATTTAGGTCAATTAACAATTGACAAAATATTTACTAAAAATATGCAATATTCAGAAGTTTTTTTTTTCAACTCAGATGTATGCATTTTATCTGAAATAAATGTCATCGTGATCAAAGGAGAAATTTATTAGGTCTTCTCTTCATATATTTTTCTTTTTGTATAAGGAAAGCCCACTCCACTCAAAAAATCGATTTTACTTAAGAATGTCTCTTTAAAATATCAAGTGAAAATTAATAAAAACTCTTCTGAAGATATAATTGAATTATTATGTAGACGACAAGTGGCAGCGAGAGCGTATCTCAACACTTTAATGTGTTTTTTCCCGAAACAGTGTTTTGACGGGCTCGATAACTCAAAAACGATCAATCCATAGTGATTTTCTATAGACATTTCCTACAGGGTAGATATCGTATGAACAAGGATAAATCCAATAGGTGAGGATCTTTCTTTTGGTTTTCGGCCAAAATTTACAAAAAAAAAAAAAAAATATTTCCCTGCGTCCTTGTTCATAACAGTGTACTCCTTCCAATTACTTAGGAATTTTGAGATTCGAATGCTCCAGTAATCGGCAATCATGCCCGTCGTCGAAAGTACAAGTCATTAACACAATGTATACATATTTGTCGGCCGGTTGAAAATCGTCAAAATTTGAAATCGAACAAGTAAAAAAGTGTCAGTCGGTGTTGCCTATGGTTTGCGGTAAAGATAATAGTTTGTGCAAAGTTTGGTTCAAACCAGACATTCCATTCACCTGATATTGGATTTACTAATATTGAAAATGTTTACCATTTGTAGGGGGTACCAGAAGTTTGGTTCACATCGGACATTCAATTCGCCTGATATTGGATTTACAAATATTGAAAATTTTGTAGGGGAGGTACTAGAAGCAGTGGACGAATCCTACTTGATCTGGGCTTGGTAAAGATAATTGGTTGCACAAAGTTTCATTAAAATCGCCAAAATATTTGTTGATGGCGTATAGAAAAATATCTCGCATGTACATATTTCTGATGGACCTGATCACCTCCGATGCGTTTTTCCATTTTCACAGTAAAAAATCTTGTGGCCGGAAATTTAATATAAGCCAAGCCCATTTTAATAAAGTCACCATTTTATGGTCCATCTCCGCTTGTCGTATTTTGATGCTTCTCGCCTGTCTAAAATTTGGAATTTCAGATTCTCAAAGGAATATAGACCTCCTTGCAGACCGTGCTAAATATAGATCTATATTTTATCTAATCTACCCCATACATCCATTTCAGGTATTATAACGACCTTTCGGCATTTTCCAACAGACATAATTCTGCATTGCAGTTTCTCTGAGGATAAAATAGTTTTTCATTTGTTTGATTTTTTTATTTCATTGTTTGATTTCTCATTTCCACCATAATTCATTTTTTTACTTGTTATTTTTTTTATCAACTATATGTTCTACATATTTTTATAAAAAAAAAAATAATACCTTAAAAATCTATTCCCACTAAATAATTCCTTTAATTAAATTGTTCTTGGCGTATTTTTGTAATATTACAATAGTTTGAATATAACTTTTCACATTTGTCGGCATGTTCTCGAAACTCCTCCAGACTTGGAAAATGTCTATACATACTATCGACATCGAATAAACGACGATCTTCTTCTTGCTTTTTATCATTTCCTTTGGCCGATTTCTCATCTTCATCCACATCGCCAGTTATACGTTTCTTTATAGATTTTTGCATACCCCAAATAAAGGGAGCACTTTTACACATCAACATTTTCACACATGACGTTTGTCCCTCTTCCCTTTCATAGCTTGAAATCATATTGGTGATTTTATCTGTCAGACTTGTATCGATCGCATCATTCAGCAATGATTTCATTTTCTTGGAAGGATTTTGCAAAAACCAATCAATGGGAGTGCCATCCGACAACATGCGTGGTTGATGTTCGGTTGGTGAGTAATGTTCCTCGGGGCCCGTTTCGGCTGTATCATGATCAGGAGAGGGATAACGGCGATTGAGGGGTGTCGTTGTATCTGCAGTTTTATTACTATTATTACCCAAAAGTGTTGTGGCAATCTGTATTGAAAATAAAATAAACAAATGATTTATTTTTCTTAAAAAATAATAAGAAGAAGAATTTATACCGTGGAAGCCACCATTATTAAAACATTTATGGCCAATGCCCCTAGTTTGGTTGCATCAAAACCCACCATGCGTAAAATACTGGTGACAAATTGTGTCGTATTCAAATCTAGGCCAACTTTTTCTTTGCTAGATTGTGGTTTTTCCTCGTGTCTCTCATTCGTCTGTTGATGGTTTTGATCACGACCACTTTCTTGTGAATCGTATTTCTTGGTATTGATATATTCCTCTGTTGAAGATGGCGATGACACTTTAGAGGGTTTTGATTTTAGACCCTTTTGCACCAACGATGACAATAAATCCGAGTTGCCTTTACTTGCTGTTTTCGAAAAAGCTTTGGCCACTAAGTTTGCCACATCTGCGGCGGTGTTAATACCTGAATAAAATTTAAAAAATATTAGTTTTCATGAAATGTGTATAACTTTTGAAAGATTTTATGCCAAAATGATCGATTTTTTTAAACTTATTTTTCTTTTACCAAACATTTGCCCGGCAAATTTAAGACCTTCATTAAAATTATCCATAACTCCACGCTTTCGTATTTCTTTGGAATCACTGCCATTGAATAATAGCATTGCAACTACCAGAAGACTTAATGACACCAGTTTGCCGAATTTCATGATGTTACTTTCCGTAAGTTTGGTTAACCACTAAAAGTGTGTATGCACCATGGATTTGCCAGCACCCACAAATTGTCATTGTTCATGGAAATTTTTATCACATGAGTGATTTTCTTTACGCTTGGTTTTTTCGCAATCAATTTTCTTTACCTAATTTTGTAATAAGGCGACAAGTTTTGGTCGATTTTCTTGTCTTCCAAAAGGGGAGAAGGTTTGTTCGACAACAACAATTGAGACAAACAAGGGGGTTTTCTTTAATTAAAATAAATTTTTATGGTTTTAGATATGGAAGGGTTTCATAGACCCTGTAAAGATAAAAATTATAAATATACGTCCTTCCATATGTCATCTTTCATGGATAGAATACTCTTCACATGCCTTATATATAAAACTGTGAGACAAAATCGAGATCATGGCCTGGGGGTTGGAAAATTCCTACTGGGGATTATATACCTTTGAGAGAATATGAAAACCTCAGAAGAAAACAAAAAATCGCCAGTGATATTTTTTCTGGTCACCATATTATACATAAAGAGAAGGCTTGACATCTTGATTTTTAGAACCTTTCGTCCTTCTAACACGATTTCTTGTGTGTCCTTTTTGTTCTTAATTAATTGAACCGGAATCCAATCATCACAGGATGCGATTTGACATCATCGCAATATTTTACAAAAATGTTGCTCGTAAGATTTTAGATGGGGTCGTCAAAGACAAGAAATCGATATTTTAACGTTTCAATTGTATTTACTCAATTTTATCAGTGTCATGTTACTAAAATTCAGAATAAATTCAGAATAAATTCTTTATTAAAAAACTGTCAGGTTCTTCCGTATTATTTGCACGTCTCTAAAGTATTCTAGAAATAGAAGAGACCTAAAATTCTTCTGTTGAGATAACTCCCTTCATGTCTGCTATTGATCTTACAATGGGTGGGTTAACTAAAAAAACATCGAAACCGAAAACAAAACAGATTTTTTTTATTCAAAATAATTTCCATAAAAGTGGTGCCATTTTTATACACACGGTTTTAAGGATTATGAGGGTATATAAACTTTGGAACTATTAAAATTGTGCCTTTTTGAAATACCGGTTATGGGATAACAAATGCATTTGAATCAAACCCAATAATTTCGAGTCGATTTCGCAAACTTTGAAGATCGATGTATTTTTGTTAATCACTTCCTCAGCAAGTGTCAACATTTTGAATACATCGTAGTGTACACAAGATATGCTGGGTTCCAGTCACACATTTGTAAATTGTTTATGAAGATAATTGAGTATCAGAATTTTCCATAGGTCGTTTGCAGATGTCAGACTTTTTACAGGACTTATGATATTACATTAAAACCCTCTACTCATATATCTCTTTTTTGGGAATACTTCCCCCTGTATGTTGTTTTGTTAGCATACTTAATTTCACCACGTAATTACCGTAATTCCAAAACCACACATTTAAGCCTAAAAAAATTGTGTACGAGTATGTTATGGCTGAGCAAGAAATTACAACGACAAACAAAAATTACTAACCACCTCTTTTGATGATGTTTTAATTATTAACAAAGTTTTAACATTTATTTTTAATATAATTTTCAATTTCAATTCTAGGTACGTGGCCACCAAAGAGCTCCATCCGATTCCAAAGAATTCCATGAATTGACCAAACGTGATGCTCTCCGTCAATTGGAAAATGATTTGGATAGACTTTTACAAACTGCCGAACCGGAAACGCGACCTGCCCTACAAACGGAAATGGAACGCTTTGCCGAGTTGTTCGGTAGATTTTTACAAGAAGGTATGTTTTAATTTTTTTTGTTATATAAATTGAATATGTAAACAGCTTTTATTTATTTACAGAGGGACCCTCCATTGATTGGAATAAAATACAAAAATTACCTGAGAATGCGGTCAAGGATTATAGTTCACTAAAAGCTCCCAAAAATGATCAGGTATATTTTGTTTCTAATAATGTCGAAAATATTCTATATGAGATTAGCAAGCAAATGTATCAGCTCAAAATGTGAAGTTTTTTTGAATGAAAATGATTTTAAATTTTAATTGAACCCATTTTGAAATCAACAAATTACAACAATTAATATGACGTAATGTAAATCAACAGAATGAAATTTTGTTGTACAATTTGAGTCAACAAATTCTAAAAAATAATCAATGACTCGACGTTTTTCGAAGTATTTATTAGAATGTTATTTAAATTTCAAAAACAGAGTCTGTGAATTCAACTTTATTACATTCTATAGGCCAAACCTAAATATGTGTACATATGTATGTATATATAACTAGAAAACATTATATACTACCTCCAACGGGCTATCTGTTCATAGAAGACGTTCTAGAGAAAAAAGGAACTCATAATTTTATTCTGATATTTTACATGTCTTCTATGGAAAGTACTTCAGTATTAATCCTGGAACCAATCAATTGAAAAGTTCTCCATCTATTCCACCCATTTTTGGCAGCAAATAAAATTACAAAATGCAAAGTAGAAACATTTTTTAACCAATAGAGGGTTCTTTTTAAAATGAAATCTGTTTTAACGCTACAGGGTTAAAATAGATTTCATTTCAGAACAACATTGGCCAATTACAGAGTTAATGTAAACTTCAATTATAATATTATTTAAAATTCCATAAAAATTGAGTCTGTGATTTAAGTATTGCCTCCCTTAAGAATAATATCTAACATAAAAATTTTGAGCTGGTCCATTCCCATCTGCAAAAAGGAATTGAATGATAATTGCACGATATCCATTGATCATATTTATAATTAATTTTTATAACTAACGACAAAATTTATTGATTTAATTCATAAATTGTAATACAAAATTTAATTTAACACATTGATTGGCATATGCAACTAGTAGATTTGTTTTGAATTGGCTTTATTTTATTTTTTTGTTTGGATGTTTCTAAATTTTGTCGTTTCATCATAGTAAGACAACATATCAAATTTATATATATCAACATACATATTTACACACTTTATTATATATATCTATGACATTTCCACACCTTGTTTTCCTTTGAAAAAATAAAACAAAATCCTTTGAATTGGATGTGTGTTTATATTTTTACTGTGGTTCTCTTGAAAGAATGAGGTAACCTAATACTTTTTTTCTTATAAATCGTATAGTATTGTTTAATAAAACAAAAACATTCATACGTACCTAGATGTATGCTTGTATATTTTATTTTTGCTGAATATTTTATTAATGCTTTGTTCAGATTACTAGTAGTTATGTAGCAGCTATATTTTAATTTGTTATTTGGTGTAAAGTGAATTTGATTTATATTTTGTTGGTAGAATTTTTTTAAATATGCCAAAATGAGCAAAAATGCATGTTTCAATAAATGACATGTCTAAACTAATTTAGATTTATTTATTTTAAAAGTTGATGTAGCGATCCACATTGAGCTAAGGATGGGTAAATAATCGCTTCTAAAAAAGTGGTTTCACTGGTGTAGTAAACTGAATGTTTATTAGATCTATTGGTCCAATCTGCCTAAAAATAACTCGAATCCGCAGCCAGGATTAAGCCAATGGTAAAAATCATAGCTGGATCCCAAAAAAATGCCCGCATTGAATCAAACCTTAATTGTGAGAAACAATTACTTCGAGCAGGTCATTTTTTAAAGGATCATTTAAATTCAGATTGGCTACACCATAGTAGCATCTGTTGGCCATCACAATCCTTCTCCGAATTTCAAAACTGATGTCATTCGTTTTATTTATGGCGGTACCAAGGTAAATAAAATCTTTAACTACCTCGAAGCTGTAGTTCTCAAGTCCCACAGTTGGTCCGAGTCTACTGGACGTCTTGCGCGTTGATACCATCAGCTTGGTCTTCTCGTCGTTTACTGCCAGACCCACTTTGCCAGACTCCTTTTCAATTTGTTCAAAGGTGGCTGTTACCGCTCGCAATGTTCGATCCATTATATCGATGTTATCGGCGTAGGCGAGTAACATGTGTTGTTTGGTGTACAGAGTGCTATTTCTGTTCACCTTTGCGTCTCGTATGACCTTTTCCAGCAGGATGTTAAAAAGATCACACGACAATCTGTCACCTTGTCTGAATTCTCGTTCGGTATTGAAGGTCTCCGATAGGTCCTAGATGTGTACCCAACAATTTTAATACCGATATTTTCGATTTTTATATTTTCAATTTTCAACCTTGGTCTCACATGAATATTGCGAATTGTTTCACACGGAGTGACAAACATAATATACGTTATAATCTTATGATATATATTCTGACACACGTTAAAAAACACGTGGAGTCATTGAATAAGTTTAAAGCCATCTGTAAGTTTTGCTTAAAATGTAGTGGGAAAAGTGACCAGGAATATGGACTAAAATATGTCAAGTCATTCTTCATATCAAAGGCGATTTGTTTGCGATTTTGATCATTAAATGCTTAATTCAAAATTAATAATGTGTGATTTTGATTGATGGCAATTGATATTTAACCAAAGAATTGTTGCTTAAAGCCAAATAAACTAAACAGGTGCTTATGTCGTTGTTGTTGTTGTATTAATTAGCATTTGTAAATTATGTAGCTGCTTCACAATTCTTTTGTGTGTTTCTTTTGTGCACACAGCTTAATTAGCTCCCCTCTCTTCTTTCTACTTTTCTGATTACTAGTTATTATTTTGTATTCATTAACGAAAATAAAAATCTCTTATTTGAATAACGATGACAAACTAAACGCAATTAATCTTTAAAATTATTTCATATTTAGATTCGTTCTATGCTGGACAAATTGGTTGTCATTAAACTTAATGGTGGTCTGGGTACATCAATGGGTTGTCATGGCCCAAAAAGTGTGATACCTGTACGTTCGGATTTAACCTTTTTGGATTTGACTGTGCAACAAATTGAGGTAAGTTTTTGTATGGGGTTTATTTTTATGCCTGAAAATGTAATCTTCATATTTTCTTCTTTATTTTCACAGCATCTTAACAAAACCTATGATGCCAATGTCCCATTGGTGTTGATGAACTCATTTAACACAGATGAAGATACGGAAAAAATCATACGCAAATATACAGGATTCCGTGTTCAAATCCACACATTCAATCAAAGTTGTTTCCCACGCATTAGCCGTGAGTCGTTTTTGCCCATTGCCAAAGATTTCGATGTGGAGAAAGATATTGAAGCGTAAGTCGAACAAACCGTTTCTCATTGTTCTTAACTAATATTCTCCTTTTAATTATTACCAGTTGGTATCCACCTGGTCACGGTGATTTCTATGATACCTTCCGCAATTCGGGTCTATTGAAGAAATTCATTGATGAAGGCCGTGAATATTGTTTCTTGTCGAATATTGATAACCTGGGTGCCACTGTTGATTTGAATATTTTGAATAAATTGGTGGGCGATGAACGCGATGCCAAACCCGTGGAATTTGTTATGGAGGTAACCGATAAGACCAGAGCTGACGTTAAGGTAAGTGTCATTGTCTTTGTTTTCAATCTCAAATCACAAATATGATGACATGTTTTTGTTATTGTATAATCCAGGGTGGTACATTGATTCAATTTGAAGATAAATTGCGTCTTCTGGAAATTGCCCAGGTACCAAAAGAACATGTGGATGATTTCAAATCTGTAAAGACATTCAAGTTTTTCAACACCAATAATATTTGGGCCAATTTGTCGGGTAAGTTGAAATTATTGAACATTCGATAAATAACAAATATTGGTCACAATCTATGACCGGTTATATTTCGGGTCTATATTTAGAAAGGAAAAACATTGAAATTTAAGTCCCGGAGGATAAATAGAAGAGAATAAAAGGATAAATATAATAGAAAAACGGGGGAGACGGGCTGACCACATGATACCCTACACAACTTCTACTGGACTTATATTTTTAATGGATTTAAATATTGATATTGTTTACATTTACGGGACATTATCGAAATATGTAGACCCCTGTAAACATTTAATTCTCGCTTCCAAGTACATAAACTTTTGGGCCATTTGTTTTTCTAAATATTAACCCAACAGCATATAATATTATAGTGTAGAGACGAATGGATAAACAAACATGCCTAGATCGACTCAGCTAGTCAATATATGACGATCGGTATAATTATTGGTTCTATATTTCTATATGTCCAGTATTTAGCGACGTTATAAACTGATAATTCAACAAAAAAGGGGCCGGATTGTATTAGTCTTTCTTTCGAGAAAATTGTTTTAATATTCCTAAAAATCTTCCACCATAAATATGAAATTTTTAAGAGATTTTGAAAGAGGTTCAGCTTAAGTGACCAGTTTGTGGGGAGAACCTCTTAAATGACTAGTTTTGTTGATAAATATTCATCGCTTTGTTAATATTCCGCCTAAAAGTATACTCATAAATCTATATTATTTCATGCTGGCTTTCGCTGTATACCAATAGATGGCAGCCGCAATAAGAAAATAACGGAATAATTTCTCTTTTTTAAACAAATAAAAACATCAATAGCACTTTTAATTTTTCATTGAATTTTTAGCAATTGATCGTGTTCTCCGTGAACGTACCCTGAATCTGGAAATCATCATTAACAATAAAACCTTGGAAAACGGGTTACGTGTAATTCAATTGGAAACTGCCGTTGGTGCTGCCATGAAATGTTTCAACGGTGCCTTGGGTATTAATGTGCCACGTTCACGTTTCTTGCCCGTGAAAAAGACCTCCGATTTATTACTGGTCATGTCCAATTTGTATAATTTGAAAAATGGCAGTTTGGTAATGTCACCACAACGTATGTTCCCCACCACACCCTTGGTGAAATTGGGTGAAAATCATTTTGCCAAAGTAAAAGAGTTCCTTGGACGTTTTGCCAATATACCAGATATCATTGAATTGGATCATTTAACTGTGTCGGGAGATGTTACCTTTGGACGTGGTGTATCATTAAGGGTAATTTTTTTTTCATTTGATTAATCTTTGAATTTTTAAATAAACATAATTTATTTTCGTTCATTTACAGGGTACCGTAATTATTATTGCCAATCACGGTGATCGTATTGATATACCAGCTGGTGCCATATTGGAGAATAAAATTGTATCTGGTAATATGCGTATTTTGGATCACTAAAAACATTTTTGATGAAACCTTTGCAAATGTTTCGGGGAAGACATATTTTTTTAACCGTCAAAACCTCTTGATGATTATGATCAACTAATATCTGCAGTCAATCAATTCAACATTTGTAGTAAATTGTATGCTTTATGTAGTGGAAAAAATAAGATAAGATCCTGGCAAATGCCAGATTAGTTATTTCCCTTAGAAATGAAGGGAAATTGTGAGAGATTAAAATACTTCTAATTGGTTTCTAAAAATACCTTTGCTAATTTTCCTTGTTCCTTGTTTTTAAATATGTTTTAGATATTATTGTTTTATTTGATTTATTATTTTATTTTTTTGTAAAAAGTATCTTTATTTTTTTGTGATCGAATATTTATATTTTGTCTATGATTTGGAACGATTTTATAGCTAGTTATTTTTATATATATATATATATATATATATATGTATTTTGGTTTATTCACTTTTTTTTGTAAATTTTTTCTCAATAAGATATACTATTACCCTCTGTATCCCAATATTATTACTTGCTATTGTTTTTTTATGTAGAGTCATAATACTGCGCAAATTTAATTAAGCATAAAAGAAATAATTATGTTGTGAGACACAATTAAATATTTGTAACACACACACAAACAAAACAAATTTATATATTGTTATACAATTTTTTGAAAGAAACAAAACAAAGAATGGCAATAAATAATTTAGTTCTTGTTATCCAAACAAACAATAACAATTTTGTTTCCTTTTACGAACGAGTTTAACGATTAATGACAATGGAGTCGGATAAGAAATGATAATTGGGCTGCGAATTAATACTTCTCTGGATTAAGGGTTTCGGTTTAAAGCTTAGAAATGACTGGGCACAATTCGATGTTACTCCCATTTTTTGGTACTACAAAAATTCGATGAAAAGAGAATTAATAATAAATTGAAAAAAAAAAAATTAAAAAAGTTAATAAATAAATAAAAAAAAAAAAAAAATAATAATAATAATAAATAAAATCCAGCCTCATCGAGACTATATATATAACGACTATTAGCACAATGATAACTGTTTTATAAAGCAACTTCTGTAATTTGACGTCAATAAATACAAAACATGTCCACAGATACATCTCCAGCCGTATTTAGAGTTATTTAATTGCAAATATTTAAATAACGTTGATTTAATCTCTATATAAATAAAACAAACATAATTATTAAGAAGTTTATAAGACAATAGTGGTTGGTTTATTGTAGCCAGATAATTAGAAAAATAATATTTACAATGGATTTTCACGTAATGCTTTTAAATACAATTTTGATCGGATTATAAATATGTATGGAATTGTTTTTTTCTCTTTAAATTTGGATAAAAGTTACATGCATATGTTGTGTATATATCAGGTGCAATAGTTATTGTGGTATATATTTGGGAGAATTACAAATGAACACATGTATACTAGGGCACCATTTTTTTTTTTAAATGCGAAATTAAAAACAAGTCGATTTCATTCAAAAAAGTTTGTTTGAAAATGCAATAAAAACACTTACAAATGTTATATAGATTTTAGTATACATGCCCTGGTATACGATAATGTTCTTAATATAAATACATATATTTATACTGTGTTGTTCTTGTTTTTTTTTTGTTTTTCTATATTGTATTACTATTTGTATTTTTTTTTTTTGTAAATTGACTTAGTACATTGTATATTCAAATATTATTACCAAAAATAATTTATATTATTCATTGAAATTTAAACAAGCATATAATAATAAAAATCGAAATTGAAAGATAGATATTTTCATCAAATTTTGTGCACTGAATATCGGTGGAATTTACCAAAATAGAATTACAGCTGTTGAATTCAAAATGAAATGTCCGATTTTACTGAAACTCTGGAAATCGTATATTTCTACCCACTCCAAGTCAAGTTCAAAGATGGGATTTATCGTTTTGAAAACTTGTGAGACTTATATGAAGCGAACGGGATATCCAGTTACATCGGAACTTTACACATTGTAGTATGTTTAGCTTACATTGTTTGCACATGTTCAACTCTTTAATAAAAACAAGCATCACATATAAATCGATATAAAAGCTATGTGAAATTTCGTAGATTTCTGCACATTTGACTGCAAAATCGCGTGAAACTTTTTTACATGTTGGGAGCTTCCTTTTATATTTATACAGAAACTCAAAAAATGTTAAATTCAAGATTTTAATAAAATATTTTTCATTTTGATAAAGAATCTATTGAAGATAAAGAGTTTATCCATTTCGTGGGTTGAAAAGTATGGGACTCGAATTCGACAAATTAAATTGTTGAACCAATTTCTTTTCTTTTCAATTGAAAGTCTAACATTGACGAAAAAGATAGTTTACCTATGTCATAACGCATATACATTATCAAAACCTATTACAAAAATTGTGTGTTTCCACGACAGAGGGGTCTACGATCCGAAACGACCCGAGTTTTTCTCGGCCAACGTCTAACATTGACGAAAAAGATCGTTTACCTATGTCATAACGCATATACATTATCAAAACCTATTACAAAAATGGTGTGTTTCCACGACAGAGGAGTCTACGATCCGAAACGACCCGAGTCTTTCTCGGCCAACGTCTGTTATGCCGAGTCGTCACAATGGGCTGGGGCATTGTGTATAAGCAGTAGGGCTGCTAGAACAACAACAACAACAACCAGTAAAGAAAGTAGTAAAGTCGGGCTGGGCCGACTATATGATACCCTTTACCACTTGGGGTATTCTCATTTTTTTTAAATTCCATTAAAAACAATTGTTTTGATTTTATCTTTATCAATAAATGAACCGACTAACATCAATCCATATACATGCTTTTCTGCAACCTATGCTAAATTTCAATGGGACAAATTTGGGTAAATCGATTTATAGCATAGTAATTCAGTACGCTATACAAATTTCTTGCAAATCGAAAGAAATGTAGAGGCTCTGGTACACCTTTTACACAAAATCGGACGAGAATATGTATGTGAGCTATATCCAAATCTGAACCGATTTCCACGAAACTTGGCAGATATGACTCCAGAGCCAATTCAGAACGCTGTGCCAAACTTCGTGCAAATAGAAAGATATATAGGGTCTTGCGTGCACCATTTCCCTTAAATCGGACGAAAATATATATGGAGCTATATCTAAATCTGAACCGGCTATGTCAAATCTCTGGTACACCTTTTACACAAAATCGGACGAGAATATGTATGTGAGCTATATCCAAATCTGAACCGATTTCCACGAAACTTGGCAGATATGACTCCAGATCCAATTCGGAACGTTGTGCCAAATTTCGTGCAAATAGAAAGATATACAGGGTCTTGGGTGCACCAATTCCCTTAAATCGGACGAAAATATATATGGGAGCTATATCTAAATCTGAACCGATATTTATGAAACTTCGCACACATCATTCTAGGCTTAATTCAGTACACTGTCTACATCGCAAGATATATAGGGACTTTGGTGCACGATTTACCTTAAATCGGACGAAAATATATATGGGAGCTATATCTAAATCTGAGCCGATTTTTTTTCCAATTTAAATAGGGTTCGTCCTTGGGCCAAATGAATGAGCTGTGCCAAATTTCATCCAATTCCATGCATATTCTCAAAAGAAACCATGTGTCTATCTCGTTTCATTTTGCCTGTTACAAACATATGCACATAGACATAATACCCTGTACCACAGTGTGGTGAAGGGTATAAAAATGGTGATTCTGCCACACCCATATATCGTTCTTTAAGAGGTGTTTATGTAGGATTCTAGCTCACAAATAACCATGAAGATCGGTCAATAAAAATTTGTAAAAAAAATTCTAAATATTCTAACGCGGTTCAATATTAAATTTAGCCTGGATTCGGATTTGGCCCCACAGAATGTTAAAGGTTGTAGTAGGTGTGAAAATATAAGTATACTTTCCTTATAAATAACTGGCCTTAAATTTCATCTGAATTCCGAATTCCGTAATAAAAAATGTGTACTTTACATTAATGACAAAAATACATGAACAGATAGATGACATATAATCTCACTAGGATTATATCTTGTTTGCAAATGCACAAAAACATATTTCACATTTTACAACAGTGTGTTGACAGTGTCATACTTTTTATAAATAAATTTACGTCTCAATAATTTTATTTTCGTTTCCCACCATTTTTATTGCAATGTTTCATTAAAAATTACATAGCATAAGCATTAATTTATTTATAATATTTATTAAAAAAAAAAACAAAAACTTACAGAGTTTAAGGTATTTGATTAAAATAAAAAATTAGAATATTTCAAATAATATTAAAAACAAATTAATTTTATATTATAATTATATTTAATTACATTTAAATATTCAGTTGTTCCCAAAATAGCTTCTTGTTTAGTCTGTATGTAATTTATTTTAACTTGTTTACAATCAAAGAAGAGATTGACAATTTTGGCGTTTCAATTTAATTATAAAATACATTAGGGTTTTTTAAAGGGAAAATAACATGACTGAGAGAGAGAGAGTGAGTTTGGGAAATATATTATATTAAACAAATGCTTAAGTTATAAATGTCTGGCATTATTTATTTTTTTTTTTTCAATTTGGTCAGATACTCACAATGGGAGTTAATAACAATACATTTGATAGAATACTAATTATATGGTTTCGTTTTGCGATTTGTTTCAGTAAAATGTTACAATAAACGTTTATGGGATTTTATTCGTTTTTTTTTTTTTGGGTTTTAGAACATAGGCACAATCGAGTTTAGTCAAAGAAATGCCACTCTTAAAAAGGATTACTTACAAACTAGGCAAAGAAAACAAAAATTAGTTATATGTATATATTTAAAAATTCAAATATTATTCAATAAAAATTAATTAATCAAAGCTTTTGCATTGTCTATGAATGCATCGGCAGACAAAAAATGGCCTCCTTCATCGTCTTCACAACACTTTGGCATTTATGAACCCTTGCTGAAACCTGGAAAATCAGAAGCCTCCGATTCTTCATC